TGAGGATTTTTTCTATAGAAAATAGTCCTCAAAGGAACCTGAAGATTTTTTTTTTAATTGGAAAATAGTCCTCTGAGGGACCTGAGGAATTTTTTTTCTATAGAAAAATAGTCCTCTGAGGGACCTGAGGAATTTTTTTCTATAGAAAAATAGTCCTCAAAGGGACCTGATAGTAGAAAAGTAGTCTTCAGAGAGACCCGAGGAATTTTTTTCTGTAGAAAAGTAGTCCTCAGATGGACCTGAGGAATTTTTTTCTATAGAAAATAGTCCTCAAAGGAACCTGAGAAATTTTTTCTATAGAAAAATAGTCCTCAGAAGTACCTAAGAAAATTTTTTCTAAAGAAAAAAATTGTCATTTGTGGATTTTTTAATTTTTTTCTCCATACAATATTTTTTTATAAATTAACTTCTCTGCTCTAATTTTTCACCTGCCTGTTTTGGGCTACACACTTATTATTCCCGTTCGATTGTTATTATTATTAGCCATATGTACTTTTATTATTAGCGATAATGTTGTTATCATTGAAATTCAAGCACGAAGCACTATTTTTTCGAATTGATAAAAAACAATCAAACATTGGACTGCTGCCTGCCAGCCAACCATCTATGGCACCCTTTATTCTCAAAGCTAATCAAAGACACAGCAAAAAAATCAAATAAAATAAATATAGAATCCTTCTTCATACATAAATACAGTCTGGAGGGTGAACCCACACACCTACACACACACACAAATATTGGCATCAATAATAAAACCTATAAATTTAATTATGACAAAACTACTTGAAATGGGCGAAAAACAAAAACAATACCAATAAAGTATAACGACAATGCCAACGGCAGCAGCAGCAACAACAACCATCATAATAATAATGACTGAAGAAGAAGTAGATGATGAATACAAAAAGAGTACTCAGTACTTACCATTAGAAAGTAACAACTAAAGTAGTTAATGAGTTGTTGTTGTTTCCCTTTTGTCCTCATAAACAGCAATTGGGAATACTCGCACTGCAGCAACAGCAGCAACGACGTAGGCGGTGGCAGAGGGCGCCACTCAGAGATGTTTAAGTTTTGTAATTTCGCATTGCTGAATGAAATGCTTGATTGTGGGTGGTTAAGCAAGGGTTGCTGTGTTATGAGAGGATGGGGAGTTTTATAACAAAACTACAGTTACCCATATGTTTGTGTGTGTGTGTATGTTCCTTCTTTACTCAACAAAGCACAACTCCATTTGAAATTATGATGTACTCTGGGAGATGATGATGACGACGACGAGAGTACATCAAAGCACATCGATGAGAGAGTATAACGGTCATTATTTTATTGTCATTGACAATACCTATATGAGAACTCAGTGTTGTGTTGATCAAATATACTGTCAAATAGCCCTGAATGAATGATGCATGAGGATACTATCTTTCCTTCTATCTATCTGCTATATCTCCCAAGAACATCACACACACACACACTTCCATACATACATTTCATTTCACCATATATTTGATATATATTCTTGCACAAATTGTCTCTATTCCAAATGGCAAAAACAACAACACACGAATATCTGTTCGGTTGTACCGTTTCTTTTTCCATGTTTCATATGTATGCTGCTGCTGCATAAGAAAAATATTTGTGGCTCTGGCTTTTGTATGTAGATGTGTGTGTGTGTTCGTGTGTGCCCTAAGCAGAGCTTCGTTATTATTATTATTGTTGGTTTTGTGCAGAAATGCAGAAAGACAATACGGAGAAATGGCATATTTGCCATACACATTTTTCTGTTCTGTTCGATTGTGTTTTTATTTGCTGTTGTTGTTCGTCATGAACATAATTAGGGGAGGTTTTCTCTCATTCAAATGTGAGAACACAAAGAGTCCGTTAAGATTGAGATTTGTTATTGAAAGAGGTATCAACGATATTTTTAATTGAAACAAATGGTATTTTTGTTAGTGTAGAAATGTATTTATTATTAAAATATGATAACATTTATCAAATGCAAATAGTATTTTTATCAAAAAAAGTCGTGTCGATTCGTCAGTGGTTTTAAATATTTTATAAATAAGAAACTTATATTGTGGGATGTGTCAAATTATTTTTTATCAATGCGGTTAATTGAGTCATCGTGTTTTTTTTTGTAGATTGTTAATTTTTTCTTATCAGTAAAAATGGAATTGATCTTTATTTATATATTTATAAAATTAAAAAAATATATATCGAAGCCTTTTTTGAAACTAGGATTTTGTATGGAAGGCTGAGGATTTTTTTCAGTGGGAAAATCTATGCTCAAAATGCTATATATATTTTAAATCATAGTGAACTAAAGTACAAACGATCACAAAGGATATATTTTTATAAAACCCATGTCTAATACAATCCTAAACAAACTGAGTAAATTTTGAAATAAAATGATATTTTTATAGAAATTTCTATCCTTAGAAGACTGTGGAATTTGTTCAAAAAGATAATCTATTCTCAAAAAAAATGGGAAATTTTTTATACTTTGCAGAGAGCTGAGAAATTTAGTGAACCTCTGAAGACATTGGAATTTTTGCTATAGAAAATATTGTATTGAGGATTTTTGTGATAACTTTTTCTTTGGGGTACCAAAGAGCGTATGAGTGGTGTCACTATGTATACGGCCCAGAATCCCTCTTAATTATTTTAATCAATTTGAAGATTTTTTATTAAGAAGACTTTTAAAAAATAATTTTTCCATTAGATAACAGTTCGTGAATTTTTTGAAACAATTTTTTCAACAACCGACCGAGTTTTATTAAAAATTATTATTTTTAAATAAATATTTGTTAAACATTTCAACGATTTCAAATTTCAAAAGACATGAATTTTTTCACGACGTGTTCATATTTTAAAAATATTTTTTTGAAAATTCCACATGTCTTGGATATTTTTAAAAATAATTTTTGAATATCTTACCACAAGTGGATTTTTCTTTTAAATATTTTCTGAAAAGTCTTGGATTTTTTGTATAATTCACATGTCCTGTTTTTTGAAAAAATACTTTTTTGAATTTATAAAAGTCTTGGATGAAAAAAACAATTAAAAAATTTTTTTTTCAATCGTTCAAAAAAAAAAACGATCCTCAGCGATCGATCCTATAAAAACTGCGGAATTTATTTTATATTGAAAAAACTCAAAGTCATAGGTACTTTGGTGAACTGCCGCATTTTTTTCCAAATATAATATTAAATATCATTTAAGGATTTAATTCCTCTAAACTTGATCCATCTTTCATATTACAACTCTCTTTTTATGCGTGGCAGAGGGGCTGCACAATTTACATGATTTCTCCTTCCTTATTATTTCACCACTGCTGCATATTTAAAATTATTTGACACAGCAGGCAGCAATGACAAGGAGAGACTCTCTCTCCCTCTCGTAGTAATACAATGCACACATTTATGCGAAACGGTTTTTCCTTACATGAGATTTGTTGCTGCTGTGATGTCTTCTTCTTTTTCTTCTTGAAGGAGAAATTCGTTTTGTTTTTGTGCAGAAAAACCACAATGAAAAAGGAAACAGAAATATACGCGCCCCAAAAAAACCGAAGCACACTCATTCACACAGTCGTTCTCTCTCCTTCTGTTTGTGGCAAACCGTTTACAGAGAAAACATAAAACAGCCACACAAAAAGGAGGTGGAGGCACGAAAGTACAACGAAATGATACATCAACGGCGACGATGACAACGAGGAATAAATGATAGAACGAAGAACACAGACAGAAATAAAAAATATAAAAAACAGACAGCAAAGCTAAACACGAAAGAGTCGAACAAGATTCAGCTCAGTTGCAATTGAGTTGTTGACCGTGCGAGTTCCCCAAACGTTGTTGAGTTGAAGATTCTAATAAGAATTGAATACAAGAAAAAAATTATATACATATATAAAGCAAAAGAAAAAAAAGTTGCAAACACATATAGAAAAAAAAATAATAAATTAAACAAAAATTTGCTAACTTTGAAATCAAAAAAATTACTACGGGTATATATCCAAGCAAATTCTCCATCCATCATTGTTAGAATATTCGTATTTAGTTGATTTTTTTTTGTTAAGTTATGCTGCCTGCTCTAACTACTACTACTCCTCTACAAGAAGCAAACAAACTTTGGAAGAATAAAAAAAATAAAAATTTAATCAGAAAAAAAATCATTAAACATCGCCCACGATAAATAAAAAAACAAACAAAAACAGCAAAATAAAAAAAATTTTGTCGTGTCCAAACAGAAAAAATATATAAAAAATTTGCAAGATAAGAGAATACAAAAACAACAACAAGAAATTAAACAAAATGTATTATCTACCGAACGGAGCCAGCAGATTTTGTTTTTACAACAGACACACACGCATTTACCATACAAAGCAAATTACCTAGAAAATGAATTGAGGTATTTTCTGCATCAGCATGCCGAAATTGGCTTAATCATGTGAAAAATAATTTCTGTGTTAAGGTTATTTGTTTCCTTAAAATAAATTTGGGAATTTAATTCTTCATTTTTTCCATTTTCCTGTTGTAAGCTTTGCTTATTTTCTAGGGTAAAATGTGTGTGTGCGTTGTGTGCTGCTCCTGTTTGCTGCTGCTGTATGGTGAATTATATTGAGAGAATCTGTTGTAGTTTTACCAATTTCTCCTTTATCTCCTCTCATCTTGTTTTGTTGTTTCATTTCTGAGACTCTCTTCAAACCGTTTTTTTTGCACAATTCACAATTGCGTAGCCTTCTCCGCGAGAGTATTGTAGTTTTGTCTTTAGTTGGCTCTCTCCCTTAAAGAGGAGAAAAAATGAGAATACTGATTGTGGGGAGAGAACTATAGACAGCAGCAGTGAGAATTTAGTTTTGTTTCATTTTTTTGGTACAAAAAGAACGAACAACAGAACAAAAAAAGAAAACAGCAGAAATTCATGGCAAAACGCATTTCTTCTTTCAGTGTTTTTTTGACCCTCACTCTCTCCACAATACACAAAAACGAAATTTCGTCGTCGACAAAAATTTGTTGTAAAAGAAATACCCCCGAAAAAGAAACGTCGTAAGCAGAGACGCGTACGTCGCCAAGCAACAGCAGCAACAATCGTCGTCAGTCAGTAGTAGTTGTCGTACTCGTCGTCGTCACACATCGTCTCAGTGTGAGTGTAACCGGAGAGAACTTAAGGCCGTAAGACTTATAACGGAAGCATTTTCTTCACACACATCCAAATCTACTTCAGTCGATAGTAGTTCGAAATTCCAGACCGGCGGATTTCCAACTACTCCTCACAACAAACAGCTTTAATTTAACTTAAAAACCCCACAACAAAACAAAAACACATTTAAAATGGTGAGTAACACAAAAAAATAAAATAAAGTTAACAAATTCGAAACGAAAAAAAAAATAAAAGAAAAATTTTGGCGTAAACAAAAAAATTGTGTGGCCAAAAAGAAAAAACATCTAGAAACCGTGAACAAAAAACAAGGCAAGATTTATAACATTTCGAAATATGTGATCGTTCGGTTTTTTTCTGGTGCTAACAAAGTGTTTGCAAATGGTTTTTTTAATCGTTTTAACCATTCGAAATTTCCGTTAAAGTTTTGAAAAAAGGGTGGAGTAGTTCCATATACAACAAAAAATTTTTTTGCTGTCATCTATTGTCGTCGTCATCATCATCGTCAAACATTATCCAGCTCATCGAGTATGGTGTTTATGCTTGGTCGGTGGTTACTCACTCTCCTCAAGGAAATATAACTGGCTTGGTTAGCGTGGTTTTATATTTGCCGGGATCGGGATCGGTGTTGAGAGTCGTGTTGGAAAACATTGCCACAGGTAGGAACAAAAAAGTACAAACAAAATTATACTTCAAATGATAATAAATCATAATTATCGAGAAATATTGGCCAATATTTATACCAGTTGTTTGCATAAATAATATATGTTATAATTTAAGCTTAAATGTATTCACGAAAAATAAAAAATATAATTTTTGTTTTGGTACGTTTATGTCAATTCGTACCTTTTGTGAACAAAAAGTACGCTTGTTACAAAATTAAAAATAGCGCAACTCTCTCTCTCAAGAGAGAATATCTCAACTGGCTTGGTATAAAACCACACATACTTTTCTGTTTGGCTAGTATTTGTTGTTGGCTTTTGGGAACTTTTTTCAATTCGTTTTTTGGAAATGTGAAATGCAAAAAATGAGGTTATTTCAAGCAAAAAAGGCACAAGAATTTCGTCGTCGTTTCATGACAGCAGAAAAAAGTGTGTTTGGTGTGCGTGTGCATGTGTGTGCCTTGCAAATATTTCTCTACTATGCTCTGTCTTTTTGTTGGGGGGAGCACAACTAATCAGCACACATTTGCTTTACTCCACCATTCATATAAGGGGAGCGAACGAGCGAAACGGTTCACACAGAGTAGAGTGTGTGTAGTTGTTTAGTTCATGAACCGTTTGGCTTACATTTGTTTTTTTATTTTTTGCAAAAGAAATTTGTCTCTCTTTCGTTGTTATCTTTTTTACATTTCTTTTTTTTCTATTGGTGTGTATCACCTTTGCATATGGCTGGCCATTGGTTTGTTGTTATAAATCAAAAACAACCACTTTTTGTGTGTTCTGCTTTGCAACAGCAGCCCCACGACGACAACACAACATGCTGTGTTTCGTTCTCTATTCATTCTTGCCAAAATGTGTTCGTCGGCTCTCTCTCTCACTCTCTGTGTAGTGTGGGGATTTCTCCTCCATCATCCATCCACCATTACCACCACCACTGTTTAATTTTTTCGTTTTGTATATTACCTTTTGTTTTAACCGTTTCGTAGCACACATCAAAAGAGAAATGCCAATAACCGCACTGCAGTTGTTTTGCTTCCCTTTTTGCTATGGTGTTTCGTCTGTGGTCTTTTGTTTTCTTTCGCACTTTTTTGCTGCTTTATTTATTTGTTTTCGTGTAGTATATTTTATCTTTATTGAGATTTCAGCGGCGTTTTATTTCCTTTGGTTTTTTTGTGGAGGTTTCTTGTTTCGTCTTCTTTGCATTTCATTATTATTTAGTAAATGAAAAAAATAGGTGTTTTTTCGGCCTTATTCATGGGCTGGCTGGCGGACAAGGCAATAATTGTTAACAGCAGCAACAACAACAAATTAGCACAACAATGATAGAAAAAAAGAAAACATGCTAAATATTAAAATATGTTTAACTTTGTAGGGTTTCTTTCTTGCCTTTCGTTCTTTCTAAGCCGTTATTGTGAATTAACATTTGTCAGCTTTAATACAAAATGACCATTTACAATAGTGTGTGATGATGATGGATGCTGATGATGTAGTGTTGCTGAGAGGAGTAATCTGCCGAGAGAGTCAAGTTTTTTTGTTATTAATGCGATTTAATTTCATTTTTTGCATATTTTATAGGTTCCAAGGAGTGATGTGTATCCTTAAATAAAGTTTTAGTGTTTAGAAAAGTCCTTTTAATGGAAAAAGTGAATTATTTTTAATGGCAAATAATTGTGAGAGAGTGTCATTTGTGTTGTGTGTGTCTGTCAAAACAGCTTAAGTCTTGTTCACACTGTGTGATCTCTGCAGGGAGTCTGAAATTTTACGAGAAATTTAAGATTTGAAGACATAGGATGTAGCGTTTGGGGGATTAATTTTTTTTTTAAATTGATATAAAAGTGTGTTTTTGCCAATTAGACATATTTATTTTAAAAAGTAGAGAGAGTATTAAAAAAACAAAGGATAAATATTTGTTGTTTATAGGGGTTTTAAACCTTTTTATATTACCTTTTTATTGCAAAAAAAGTTGCCAGTGATTGTCTGTATGTCAAAGACTTTAAGCCTTGTTCATACTGTGTGATCTCTCGCCAAGAATGTGTGTAATTCATAAAAATGAGGATTTAAGGCCAAGGATATATAGTTTGATGGAATTATAGCTCGAGACTCGAAATACAAGTGTTTTAATAACAAAATATTCCCTTCTTTGTTGTAAAGAGTGTTTTTAGTGTTTTGAGATTAAGTCTAGTTCACATGGTGAGATTAACAAATGACATATTTTAAGGACAATATAGATTTTTTTTAATTAATTGATCTATAGATGCATGGCCCAGGTTGTTTATCTTTAAAATAAACATGTGAATAGGAAATTAAAAATTTAAATATGTATCCATGTTATTGCTACAAAAGTTTTAGAAAAATTAAATTTTTATAATATTGCAGTAATAAAATGATTATAGTTTTTCTTTTTTAGAGGCGAATTAATAGCAAGGATTCTCAAATATATATACTTTTCAATTTGTGCCCTTAATATTGGATCCCATAGCAAATGATGTTCTCATTTTATAAAATTTTTGTTAAAAAATTCCGCTGTTGTTACTTCTGACTGGCCACAAGATTGAAAAACTAAGTAAATAAATGGCTATTGTTTAAATTTTCGAAGAGAATAACCCTTCAATTTTTGTGTACCTCTACATTATTATCATCAATTTCTCTCTATAATATTAAAAAAAAAACGCACACACACACTGACATATATATTTTGTTATCCATTAAAATAAAAATAAATTGCCTCCTTGCCATTGATCATTAGAGAAACATATTCACCTCCTCCCGAATTCAGGGTTAATGTTGTATTATTGTTTTTGATTTTTTTCTCCGATAATAAAATTTATTGTTATTTTCGCAGAATTGCTAATTTATTTGTTTATTATTGCGATTGTTTTTGTTTTTCTATATACATATGTATGTGTGTATGTATGTATATTTTTTGTTATATTTAATTAACATAAGGCCTGGGTGTATTGTTTGGAAATAAGAGCAACAACATCAACAGCAAACTTATTTGTTGTTTGCCATGTGCTTCAGAAAATAAAATTAAAAAATATACAAAAAAAAAAAAAAGAAGAAGAGCAGCAAAAAAGCGTCGAGAGAGATATGATAAGCAAAAAATTTCAATTTCGGTTTCGGTTTTTTTCTACTTAATTAAATTAGAAACAATATATATGCCGCCCCAGCAATCACTGATAAATTGTATAGCGTTTTATTATGTTTGAAAAGTTATAATAAAGAAAATAATTTTCGATAGATAAAATATTAAAAAAAAAAATAATCAAAAAATTAATCAATTTTTAACAAAAAATTAAAAGAAAAATCCTAAAAAATAAAAACACATCGATTAATAGTAGATTGTTGCAGGTTACGGAACAAAAATCTTTCGTTTTAAACCCCATTAGGTATTTTTTTAACCAAATTCCCATTTTAAACTCTTCTTTGATTCTCATTTTCAAAATTCTTTTAATAAAAAGTCAAATTTAATTTCTTTAATTTTCTGTTTTTTTTTTTCTCATCTCTCGCTTGTGTTGAAAAATTAATATTGACATTCAAAAAAAGGACAATATGACATTGTTTGTCGTTCGGACAAGAAAATTACCAATTTTATTACCACACACAACCAACCACGTTTCTAATTAAAAATCCAATATCGTAACAATTTTTTGCTTTTCTCTTTCTCTTTCCCTGATTCGATTTTTTTCTGCTGCGTGGTGATTGGTCACCCCTATTGCGGTTGCAACAGTTACCTTTTTGTTGTTGCTGTTGTTTTAAGCCAATAAAAAATATAAAATGTGTGTAATGGGCCAAATACAGTCGTCAGGCTATGTGGTCACGTTTTCACATGTATGGTATTATTAAAAAACGGCAATAAATTGTGAGAGTAATTTATAATTCATGAATATGTGACACGTCGTCGTCGTGGTCGGTCGTCCAACAGGTCAAAGGAAATTGTGGATATAATACACCACCTATTGATATGTAAGACACATTTGATGTGTAGTGTAGGGGATATTTAATTAAACTCAAGTATTTTTTCCGTTTCTTTGAACCGATTTTTTAACTTCCTGTGGATTTTTTTCAATTCAATAGCCACTGAAGACCCCATATCATTAAAAAATAACAAAACCGAAGTATTTTTTCCGTTTCTTTAAACCGAGGTTTTTAAACTTCCTGTGTAATTTTTTCTTTTAATTCAAAAACTACTGAAAATAACAGAACCCTCTTTAGCAATTACTTCAAGTACACATGACACTTTCCAACATTTCCTGTCCCAATTTCAATTTTGTATTTATTTTTTTTCACAACATTGAATCCAATGTGGAGTCTTTTTCATCATCATAATAAAAAAATTGAAAAAAGAAAAACATAATAATATAGCCCAGCCTGCTGATAACAATTTTCTGCAGCTACAACATTGTTGTTGCTTCAGTGACAAGTGCGAAATTGTGTGTGCAATATCTTGTCGTCGTCTGTCTGTTCGTCCGTTCCTATTTCTTTTTTATTTTATATGACTCACAATTTCTTTT